GAATCCGATTGAAACCATGCGGAATTGCCACAGCTCCTCGCCCACAACGAACACCACGCCCGTCTGGGTCCGCGCCAATCTGCTCCACGGCGCGCTCCCATATATAGGAACACGAAGGGCCCCCAAGAACCCCCCCGGAAGTCTTCTGGAATCCTGTAAATTGTCTGGGGGAACCTCAGGAATCCGATGGTAGCCCTAGCAGATCCGATGGAATCCTATTCTTTCAACGGAAAGCATGACAACCCGATGGACATCGCAAGGCTCCTCGCACGCCCCCCCGCCCGTCCGGGTTCCGAACGCCCCGCCCGTGCGGGTCCACGCCCATCTGCTCCACGGTGCGCGCATCCGTGTAGGAACCCGAAGGGATTCCTCAGGAAACCTTTCTGGGAATCCAATGGAATTCCTCCCGAATGCAGTGGAAATCCCATGGACTTCCTGGAAATCATATGGAAATCTAATGGGATGTCTTGGGGGTCCGATGGAGATCCGATGGGACGCCTATGGGACCCCGAAAGATTCCGATGGAAATCCAACGAAAATGCAATGGCAACTTGTGTAAACCCGTTGGAAATCCGATGTGAATCCGATGGAAGTCCTGCGGAATCGCATGGAATTCTTTTGGGATAGTATGGGAATCATATGGGATGCCTTCGGAATCCGATGGAAATCCGGAGAAGGCGGGTGACATTCAAAATGTGTCTCTCGCCTCAGCGCCGCACACATTCGTGTTATAAGCGTGCAAGAGTTTCACAAATATAGGGCGGATGAGACTCGAAATGTGGCGCTCGCCTTAGCGCCGCGCGCGCTCGTGTGAACAATGTGCCATTTCCTCACGGAAGGAGGGTGGGTGGTCTTCGAAATTTGATTATCGCACTACCGCCGCGCACAACCGCATGGTTCTCCCAGAAATTGTGTTGGCACGATGTCGGGCGGCCATGACGCAACAGATGCAACGACCCGCGGTGGTGAAATCCCAGAAATGTGTTGCGGCACCATTCACGGCCGCCAAGACGCAACAGTGACGGTGATTCGCGGCGTTCGGTTCCAAGGAATTGTGTTCCAGCACGATTCGCGATTTTCAAGCGGTCGCTTTCCAACGATGCACTTCCCCAAGTGAAACTGAATCCTTGCACGCAGGGGCCTATGAATAAGCAGCTTGTAGGGAGGGCTCAGGGCCCGAGCATTGACGAATCTTGGGTGTACACTCTTCCCCATCCTCTTCCTGACACGTACCCAGGGGGGGCGGTCAGGCCGATGACGGTCTCAGCCTCGATGAAGCGCTGCTCGCACTTGAGGCGCAGCAGCTCGCACAATTCTCTGGGGGACGGGTGCGGGGTGAGAAGAAAGAGTGGTGTGCAGGATATGGGAGGCGACGACAAAATGGCAGGCAGCAGGGGGCGGGGATTTCAGACCGAGGCGAGTGAGGAGGTCGGGGGAGAGGGAGACATTCAGAATCTCTGCAGTCCAGTCCAGGACTCTGGAACACTCGAAATCGTGTGGCACGTGATCACGGCCGCACCTGCAGCCAAATCTACACTGATCCCCGTCCTCTTGAAAGCGAGCTGCCGTCGTCCACGCTCCGAAAAGGGATGCAATGTACGAAGATGAAAGAGCTGGTGGCAACTGGACACATGCAACCCGCACCCGCCCCCAATCAATCCCATTAATCTCACTCGCGTGCTGCGGGCACCAATCCTTTAGACGGCGAGCGAGAGAGGACGAGACAGCAGGAGGATAGAGGATGCCCGAGATGGAAGCACACAGCGCGCGCTGAAGCTTGGGCCGAGCTCCAGCATGCTGAGAGGAGGCCCGAAGCATGGCGAGGATCGGTTGGGCCTCCTCCAGCGCTGCTCTACCACGCTGCGACCAAGCCGAGCTCGATGGGAAGCCTCTGGCTGCCTCGCGGAAGTGCTCTACAATGCTTATGTCGGCCCAGAAGGCCGGAGACAATTTGTTATCACACAAGTCTCGGATGGTCCGCTGGGACAGAGCAGCTGCGTGCAGTCGGGCATATACCGACTCCCAGCCACGAAATGTCCATAGCGCGGCCCTCATGCGAGTAGCAAGGTTGACCGCCAGTCCGCTTCTGAACTTCGGCGCTCCCCAGAGATGTATATTGAAGAAGTCCGATCGAGCAAAAGAGCAATGGGGGACGCGATATACAGAAGCTAACAGGGCAAGTTCTGACTGGGGGAATCTGGGAGGGAGAGGGAGGAACTGACCAACGTAGGAGAGAGTCGTCAGAGCCCTTTTGTCGCACATTGCCGCGGCGACAGCAGTGGGGGGAGAGGCGGCAGCAATGGCTTGCACACGCAGCGAGTGCTTAGCTCGGGGCGCGATCCAAGACTGCCGGCGGACTTCAGGTCCGAGGATCAGACCGAGGGTTTTCAAGGACGGGGAAATCTGAAACTCGGCCCAGGCTGGGATCACACGAACGATCCAGTCTCTGTATTTCTGGGCCAGGGCCTGGGTAAAGGGACCCGCCAGAGGAGTCAGAAAGCACTTGCTAGCTTTTAAATGAAGGGCCGCAAAGGCCGCCGCAAATTGGAACATATTGAAAAAGGGTTTTCAACCCCGCTAAGACGTACACCACTGCTCCGAGGTCCTCAGCACACGCACGGGCCGCGCCAGATGTCAGTCGCCCGTGCGTTTTGGAGCTCTTCGTCGAACCAGCTGCTGGAGCGACTCTCTCTTCAAAGGTGTCCTCGAGCAGGGCAAGAAAGGGATGAGAAGCGAGGGCGCACAGGGCACCGCTGCCTGGGCAGCCTTGCACTATACCAGAGGGGATGTGAAAGAGCGGCAGCAGAACATGTCCAGCCATCGCGAAGCACAGTACATTCGCATATATCACTCGAACGAACCATTTGAGAGGAGAGGGGATAGCGAGAGCGTCAACGACAAGAAGGAGCCAGGGGTGAGCGAGACTAGGAAAGGCGCGAGCGAAATCGAAGCTCACGAGAGCTGGGAGGGCATGCGGGGCACACTCACGCATCGAAGCCACACGTGCGTACATGTCAAGCTCGATCACATTCATGCCATGGTTCCGTCCCCGAACGAAGCCGCGCTGCAGCTTACTGACGAAATTGGGGATCTCAACCGAGAGGGGCCAGAAGACTGCTGCCGTTATCACCTTGACGTCCGCGTTTTTTTAGCCCGAGGGGTCTGGTCTGGGAGGCTTCACGTATGATACCTTCGGGGTCCCCGTCTTCTTCCCCCTTCGGGATGAGCGCTGTTCTAAGGTAGTTGAAGTCAACTCCCATGTACTGTCCACTAAGACACCACCACATCACCGTTGTCAGGACCTGGGGCCCACGCGGATGATAAAGCCGGGCAGCGTAGGGTAGGCCATCTGGCCCAGGAGAGCTGTTGGAGGCCTTCTGGGGCACCCTAGAGATCGTGGCCTGGGACGGGGGCGGGAGGTTCATGAGGTCCACCTTGGGGCCGTACTTTTCGACAAGCTCGGCAGCTTTCTGGACCTCCACCTGCTTCGCACTGAAAATCTGCCCCCAGTGCGATGACAGCGCGCCCAGCATCGCTTCTGGCGCAGTGGGAACCTGGCCTTGATGCCGCAGCCCCTGCAACACCAGTCGGCGATCAAAGGGAAACCATAGCCTAGCTAGTTTCGCCAACCCGCGAAGACGACGGCGAGTTTTCTTCTGGACCACGGCGGGGTCGTCGGCGTTCAACGATGAGCGTAGCACAGCTCGTTTTTTTCCGCCATTTTGTAGTGGGCGACGTTCGTAGCCATCTGCGCTTCAACAGGGTGGCGAAGCCGAAGAACACCAGCAGGCTCGTCTATCTCCAGATAGTGACGGGCCAGACGGTGACTAGGGACAAGACGGCGTCCCAGATTCATATCCTGTTGCCAGAGAGCCCTGGAGATCGATTTGTAGATGATGAGATGGGTAAGAGTAGATGCTGGGTCCTTGAAGATCATGATGTTTCTAGCGTACTGGGCCGCCGATCTCATCACCTTCTTCTGAAAGGCAAGCAAGAGCGGTGGTGGCAGCGAGCTCGTGTCGACATCCAGCGCAGCAGCCTGAACAAATTTCCGATATTCTGGGCGCTTGAAGATGTCGGGGGGGGGGGGGGGGGGGGGGGGGGGGGGGGGGGTCGGCCTATCTGAGAGGGTCCCTGGGTTCATCACCGTCGAGACTGCTGCGTGGTCGGACAGCTCAAGCTGGCGCATAACTTCAGGAAAGTCGTGCACCTGACCAGCGGTACTAAGTTGAGTCAAAGCCCATCCTGGAACACTTACAAAGAGGCGGTCCAGGCTAGAGGTCGTGTGGCTTGGTTTGTGATAATGAGTCTGGCCCCCCGCCTCCACCTCCGTCATCAGCCCGAAGATCTGACGCCACACGGTCTCACGCTGACGTCGCCAACCTTGCAGCTGCTGCTGAGCAAGAGGATGGCCGCGCATATGGCGCGGAGGAAGAAGAGAAACGTTAGAAAGTCCCCGACGACAGCCACGAACGAGTGCATGGGGTCCCGAGAGGCCATGGCGAGGTCGTCCTGGATTGCCTGGAAAATGATGTCCCTACGAAAAGTGGCAAGGTTGTGGTTATGTATGTTCCAATGAGAGATCCAAACTCCATTAGGAAAGCAAAGTTGAAGCTGTTGAACGCGCCCTGGAACCCAAACCTGAAGAACAACCTGCGGACGATTAGTTTCAGGGAGCTGACCAACATCAGGAGCGAACGTAATAATTCCCCCCGCATTAGAGGGAGCGCTGTCCTCGCCAGAGTCGCAGAAGGATGAGAAGGCGCGGAAGGGACGATGGAGGTGGTAGAGGAAGTCATCAACTTCAAATTGCGCGCCGTGGCATTCCTGCACTGCAACCGAGCCCCCTTGGACGAGCAGTGACGAAAGATATGACAGTTTGCGGCCGCGAAGCCCCAGTTGATGATAGAAGAGGGCCCGCGCATTCCATGATGCGAGAAACAGCGGCAACTCCTTCGAGCCGCCGCCAGCCCATGTCTTGAAGAAGGCGCTAGGAGCACCACCGCGTCGGCTGCGAGGTGTTCGAGAGCGCCGCATCAACTCTTGGCTTGATGGCTTCCTTGACCATGCCAAGCTCTTGCAAGTGGTCGTCAGCATACTCGACCGTGGGCTGCGCCCCTGGGCCGCTGACTGAGATCCTGAGCAACTGTTTCCATTGCGCCGAGATCGTGCCCTGGGATTTGTCCGTGAAGAACTTAATGTTGTGCGGGTGAGCGCCATAGATCGACTCCAAAACTTTGCGTGCACGTTTGAGCGAGATCTCTGTCTTGACCATGCACGGGCTTTTGTCCAGGGACAGGTACAGCTCCTGGGTGTGGCCCATGGGGTCCCTGACCGTGAACCTCTGCCAAGACCCGTCACGCCCACGGAGAAGAGAGATCGCCTTCGCCACTCGCTTGGCCGCGAGGTTGGCGTTGCCGAGGAAGCGGATGACGAACTTGGTGTCGGAGGGATCGCTCTCGATGCGGACCTCCTCGTTCGGGACCTGAAACTGCTGGAACCATCCGTCGAGTGTGTTCTTGACTTCATTTTGCTGCACCATGTTCTTCGTCCTGGCCACGATGATGGTCGGGTCAGGCTCGCGCATGAAGTCAGCATCTGGGATCGGCTGGATGGACGGGCGCTCGGACTGCATGATGCCGAACAACTCCTCCAACCGCGTGATCTTATCCTCCAAGACTGTGATGCGTTGGCCCTCTGCTTTGCTCGTGGTCTCCACTGATGCCAGACGACGTTCCATCTGCTGGCCGAGGGTCTCACAGGAGGTCTGCACCGTGCCAGCGAGGGTGGCGACCGAGGTCTGGATGCTCTGGATGGCCTCCATGAGGGTATTCTTTGTGGCGTCCACGTACTGGCGAATGTCCCCGTCGCCAGCCGGTTGTGGTCCACCTGGTGGAGGAAGATTGGGAAGCTGGGGGTGCTGCAACGGAGGACCACCAGGAGGCTGGACAGCAGGAGCCGCGCGACGCGCGGCCGCCGCGGGGGTATCACTGCCAACTGTGCCACCAGATGTTGCCGCGCGCCTACCACGGTTGGCTGGGGACTGCGCTGCATGCCGTCGGACTCCTTCAGCTGGGGCCTGCGCCAGGTCCTGCGCACGCCGCCCTTGTTCACCACTGCGGCTGCGATCGTCTCGAGGCGAGATCGGTGGAGACACGAAGGTCTCCCTGTCGTCCATGGCAACTGCAGGCATGTCTGGGAGGAGAGAGGTCTGGCTGCCTGCCAACGAAATGTCGCCGTGGGCCCTCAGCCCCAATATGGCTCCAGCCACCTGTTTGCGGAAGGGTCCACAGCTAATCGCAACACCTCGGTTCCCCGAACCTTCGTTACGTTTAGCCTTGAGCCAAAATGGCTACGGATTCCCCATCCTCTTCCTCTTCCTCCTCCTCCTCCTCCTCTTCCTCCTCCTCCTCCTCCCTCCTTTTTTCCTCCCTCCTCCCTCCTCCCCTCCTCCCTCCTCCCTCCTGCCTCCTCCCTCTCCTCCTCCTTCTCCACCTCGTCCCTTCTCCACCCCCTCCTCTACCTACCCTCCTCATCCTACTCCTCCTCCTCCTCCTTCCTCCTACTCATCCTCCTCTCCTCATCCTCCTCCCTCTCCTCCTCCTCCCCTCCCCCCTCCTCCTCCTCCCTCTCCCTCCCGCCCCTCCCTCCCTCCCTCCCTCCCTCCCCTCCCTCCCTCCCCTCCCTCCCTCCCTCCCTCCCTCCCCCCCCCGCACGTGACGAGACCGGCGGCAGGGGCGCGGCCACGTGCCCGCCCGAGGCGGGGCGCTCCTGCTCGCGCTGCCAGTAGACAGGGCGGCCCTCCCAAGAGGACCCGGACAGGGCGTAGACGCCGTTGACCTGGAGGAGGGAAGGAGGGGAGGGGGAGGGAAGGAGGACGAGGAGGACCACCAAGGGGGGAGGGAAGGGGGAGGGAGGGAAGGAAGGGAAGGAGGGAAGGGGGAGGGAAGGAGGGAAGGAAAAAGGGAGGGAAGGGGGAGGGAAGGAGGACGAGGACGACTACCCGGCCCGCCGCAACCTGAAAAAAGGGTGCCCGGCGCATCTTTTCAGGCGGGGCGCCCCTCGGCGATCTGCTGGAGACCGTGGAGCAGCTTGCGGGAAATGCGTGCTGCCACAACCCGGCGGTTGAGCGACAGCGGGCCACATCCTAAAGTATGGAAGAGGAGAAGGGAGAGGGGAGGAGAAAAAGGAATTGGAGGAGAAGGAGACGGAGGAGGAGGAAAATCACCCGGGGACTTGCCCAACCCTTGGAAGCATGTGGCCAGTATGCATCGGATCGCTCAATACAGAGGCAATGATTGAATGCCCCGCAATGCCCTCGAACGCTTCGCCAAAAAAAGCCGGGCCACAGTCAGATGTTCCACATGTGCGGCGTCACTCTTAAGAGTCAAGTCACTGGCAGGGGAACGGCCACCAGGGGGCGTGGAAACATGTGGAGGAGGGACGACTGTAGGGGGTCAAATGCGAACCCTACCCTACCCCCCACGATTTCTAAGGGGGAGGGTCATTCCATTCAGAAGCTCCCGAAAGAAGTGAACTCCACCCTCCCCCTCAGAAATCGTGGGGGGGTAGGGGTAGGGTTCGAGTGTGGCCCCTTAGATTGGAGACATAATTCGTGGGAGTAGCAGCGCCTTGCGCTGTGTTCGCATTGCAGGGCAGCGCCCTGCGCGCTTTGACATTACGGCGCCCTGCGCTAAACGTGGCATGTGCCCGCATGCATTACAAGCAAGCAGGCAGCTGAAAAAGGGATGTAGCATGGGCAACGGACAGCGCCATGTGCTACTCGCTGCGCCGCGCTCGCACACGCCGCGATGTGCAATCTAATAGCAGCATGCGCGATGGGGAGAGGTCGTGCGTCCACGGGGCGACTGTAAGCAGGGCTGGTATCACACCTGCCTGTGCCTCATGTGTTCAGTCCTGTGCCTGACTGCCGCTGGGTTAATATACCCGGCCGCCAACGCATCATGGGACTGGAGGCGACAGTTTCGCAGATCGCAGCCCCACAGGGATGGCGAGGTTTCATGGTGGCCCCCGTGGGACACTCCTCCGTTGGACCTCCCAGGAGCCCACGAAAGTGGCGACCGTTTCGCAGATCGCAGCCCCCCAAGGAACGGTGAGGTCTCATGGTGGTCCCCGTGGGACACCCATCCGCTTGACCTCCCAGGAGCCCACGAAATTGGCGTTTCACAGATCGCAACCCCCCAGGGACGGCGAGGTCTCGTGGTGGTCTCCGGAAACACCCCTCCGCTGGACCTCCCAGGAGCCCGCGAACGTGGCGACAGTTTCGCAAATCGCAGACCCCCAGGGACGGCGAGGTCTCATGGTGGTTCCCGTGGGACACCCATCCGCTGGACCTCCCAGGAGCCAACGAAAGTGGCGACCGTTTCGCAGAGACACCCCTCCGCTGGACCTCCCAGGAGCCCGCGAACGTGGCGACAGTTTCGCAGATCTCAGCCCACCAGGGACGGCGAGGTCTCGTGGTGATCAGCGTGGGACACCCCTCCGCTGGACCTCCCAGGAGCCCGCGAACGTGGCGACAGTTTCGCAGATCGCAGGACCCCAGGGACGGCGACGTCTCGTGGTGATCTGCGTGGGACACCCCTCCGCTGGACCTCCCAGGAGCAGTCTCATGGTGATCTGCGTCGACACCCCTCCGCTGGACCTCCCAGGAGCCCGCGAACGTGGCGACAGTTTCGCAGATCTCAGCCCACCAGGGACGGCGAGGTCTCGTGGTGATCAGCGTGGGACACCCCTCCGCTGGACCTCCCAAGAGCCCAAGGAAGTGGTGACCGTTTCGCAGATCTCAGCCCACCAGGGACGGCGAGGTCTCGTGGTGATCTGCGTGGGACACCCCTCCGCTGGACCTCCCAGGAGCCCGCGAACGTGGAGACAGTTTCGCAGATCGCAGGCCCCCAGGGACGGCGAGGTCTCGTGGTGATCTGCGTGTGACACACATTCGCTGGACCTCCCAAGAGCCCATGAAAGTGGCGATTATTATTTCGCTGATCGCAGGCCCCCAGGGACGGCGAGGTCTCGTGGAGATCTGCGTGGGACACCCCTCCACTGGACCTCCAAGGAGCCCACGAAAGTGGCGGCAGTTTCTCACACCGCGGGCACGAGGCAGGAGGCAGAAGGCAGGCGGGAGGAGAGAGGAAGAGGAGGGAGAAGGGCGGAGGCGGGAGGAGGGGGAGGAGGAGGTGGAGACCACAGTGCTCTGTTCGAAACGAGAACCGAACCAAGAGAGTTCTGGGGAAAAGGAGGAGGAGGAGAAGAAAGAGAGGAGCACTACCAAGCCCGCCGCAAGCTACAGCAGGGTGCCCGACGCATCTTTACAGATGGGGCGGTCATCGGCGAATGAATGACTGGAGACTGTGGAGCAGCTTGAATCCGTGCTGCCACAACCCAGTGGCTGAACGACAGCGGGCCACATCCTGAAAGTGAGGAGGAGGGAAGGAGGAGGAGGAGGAGGAGGAGGAGGAAGAGAAGGAGAACGAGGAGGAAGAAAAAGAGGAGGAGTAGGAGGACGAGACAGGGAGGAGAGACCTGGGCTCGGTGGGCAGAGGCTGGACGAGGTCCTGGGCCGAGAGTGGCCCCCGTCGCACAGAACTCCTGATCGCTGCACGCGGCACCCCGTCACAGCGCTGCAGCAGGCCAGCCGACCAGGATGCGGGCGCCCGGCGGCGCCCCACAAGCGCGGGGAGCATCATAGGGGGCGCCCCGGCGGGCCTCGGGCCACGGCAGGACCCACGGCACACCGCACGCCTCGAGCTCCATGCCCGAGCCCACCCGGGACTACAGCAGAAGGAGGAACGAAGCCCCTTTTCTCTAAGTAACCCTAGGAAATCCGAGGGAACACCAGGGGGGTTCGCCGCCAAAAAGGCAGCGGAACGCATGCAGACCGAAGAAACGACCGAATCCCTTTTGAAAAATAAGTGCTCCTGATTAAAGCCAGACCCTGTACAGTGGAGATCGGTCCACAAGAAACCTTACAAAAGAAACCTCACCCTGAGACCCCAGGACGTCGATTTTTGTTGGTGTGGGGACGTCACGCCTTCCATCGCAAAACCTTCGAAACCCAAGAAACCCATGGCACCCTGGAGGCAAGCAGGGCGTCTCTTGGCATGGGCCCCCACTGTAAGTGCATCTTCTCCCTCGGTGCCTTCCGAGCGCATCTGCTCGCCTCGCCCTTCCGCCACCCGGCGCACTCCGTCGTCACGTTCCGGGTCAGACGCTCCTTCGCCGTGGCCCCGCACTGCCAGCAGAAATACAGTCGGGGCGTTGACCTAAGGAACCCTAAATAAGGAACGAGGCCCCTATTTTCCATAAGTTGAACTTCGATTTCATATCGAAAAACCTAAGGACAACCTGAGGCAAGCTGCGAAACAATTAAGGAACACGGAGCCCCTCCCCAATGAAAAGGGTTCCTTCTTCAGCGCCCCGACTGTATCCGCGTTCCTGATCAGCCTACGAGGTGCGACGGGCGGCTCGACGTTCTTTTCGGCACCAGGCTTCTCCTTCCAGTCGTCGGTGTCGTTCTCGCCTCCCCCTCAGGGTTCGTCATGGTCGGGGCATCATGGCATTGACTCAACCACCACCTCGCCATTCGTCCTTTCTGTCGCTAGCAGATCGTCTGCTTGCAGACCTGGCAACTCCACACCCCGTTCTTGCTCGTCAGCTGACGCGGCGAACGTCTGATCAACCCCTTGCTTATCAATGGCGCAAAGCAATCCAAAGCAAGAAAACGTAACGCAACGCAATGCAATTCAACGCAAGGCAAAGCAACGCAATGCAAAGCAACGCAAAGCAAAGCAAAGCAATGCAACGCAATGCACAGCGAGGCCATGAAAAGCAATGCAAAGCAAGACAACGCAACACAGAGCAATGCGAAGCAATGAAATGCAACACAGTGCAAAGCAAGGAATGGCAATGCAACGTACAGTCACGCAAAGACACGACAAGGCAAATTAGCGAACGGTAAAGCAACGCAAACCAAGGCAAACTCGCAATGCCAAACATATCAAAGCAACGCAATGCAATGCAAAGCAATGCAAAGCAAAGCAAAACACTGCAAAGCAAGGAAAGGCAATGCACTGCAAAGCACTGCAGATAAATGCAATGCAAAGCAAGGCAAGCCAACGTAAGACGAAGCACTGTACATAAATGTCAAGCTATGTATAGCAGCGTAACATCATGAAAAGCAGCGAACAGCAACGCAAAGCAATGCCATGCAAAGCAACGCAAGATCGCACAAACAAAGGCAACGCGCCGCTATGCAAAACAACGCAAAGCAGTGCAAAGCATTGCAGATCAAGGCACAGCAAGACAACGCGTTGCAAAGTCATGCAAATCAATGCAGAGCGATGCAAGAGAACGCAAAGCAACACAGAGCGAGGCAAAGCACCGCAGTGCAGAGCAATGCAAAACAGCGCAAAGCATTGTAAGTGGTGCAATCTAACGGCGGCGACGAGGCGGCGACGAGGGGGCGACGGGGCGATATAGCCGCCAGGCCTGCACGCAGACCCAGACGACGAGCGGCGACGAGGCGGCGACGGGGCGGCGACGGCGCCTGCATAGCCGCCAGACTGGCATGTCCAGCTCCCCAGAAAGCAAATACGAGCCCAGGAGTGCAAGCTCTGTTTGGGGAAAGACACATCGGGGATGGACAGAACCCACTTTCGTAAAACGTGGTTTCGCGAAAACGACCTCGGGCCCAAGCCTGGCGGGCGCAAGCCTGGAGAATGACGACCGCGGCACCCTCTCGAGAACCGAAAACGACAGTTCACTGATCGACGCGTCAGGGTGGGGGTTCTGTCCAACCCCGATGTTAGGGCAAGAGATACGCGCCCCTGAGTGCAAGTACTGCTGGGGGAATCAGAACCCTCGAGCGAGACGCTGCCAGGGCAAATCGCCACGCACGGAGAGCAAGATCCGCCCGACGTTCAGGTCCGCCGCTCGCGGCCCTCGGGGCGCCCCTCCCCCCGACCCCTCGCTCTTCTCCGCAACTGCGGGGGCTGTGGCATTTGCCCCCCCACCACCACCCAGGGCCCGAATTTGAGCAAGGACCGACCGGCCCCACATTCCTACAGGCCTACCACGATAAATATATTCTTAGAACCCGAAGCTGTTCTGAGAACAGAAACAAGCTTCCGAGAGCATGAGACCGATGTGTTAAAAAAGACAGCCCCAGCCCGAGAGGCTCTGCGCAAGAGCATCTCGCAGAAACCACGGGCGAGGTCCTCAGAACACTGTGGTGGTGGGCCTGTTATAAGCACGCCCGGACGCTCCGCCACTGCGGGAACCGTAACCCAGGGCCCGAACATAGATGCCCGCATCCGCCGCCCCCCGAGGCCCCCGAGGAGGAGGAGGAGGAGGAGGAGAAGAGGCCGAGGAGGAGGAGGAGGAGGAGGAGGAGGAGGAGCCCTGGGCGGTGCTTCTGGCCAAGCCCCAACGGTGCACCGCCGCGCCTCCAGGGGCAGGGGCGCGTGCGCAGGAGGGTGGCCCTGGATCGCACGCACCACCTCGGACTCGGCCCCCGCCCCCTCCCCTGGAGGCCTCCCATTGCCAGCCTCGAACGTATCCCTATCCCTAAGATTGACACGCCAAAAGGCGATGACAATCTTAGGGATTCGCCCACAAAAAATAAGGGAATCCCTAAGATTGGCATCGTGATGAGGAGGTGCCCAGCATAGGGATAGGGATATGTTCCAGGCTAGTAATCACAGGTGGGGTCCGCGCCGATGGGGTCGGAGGATCGCGCCGCATCGCCGATGCATCGGCGACGCATCGGCGATGCATTGGCGCCGTCGACGAGAACTGGCGCCGTCGGCGTGGCGAAAGTCGGGCTCATCATCGAGCCACATCGCCGATGCATCGGCGCTGCGGCGCGATCCTCCGAGCTCATCGAAGCCATCCATGTGGAGGTCGGAAAGGGGTGTGGCAGAAAGGGGTATGGTGCCAAATCGTGGATGTGGCGATGCTACCTGCGATAGATGACATCGCCAGATTCCCCTTTTACCTAAAAATGAGCACCACTTTCGATGACCCAGAAGGGGGTCCAGCTGCCAGGGCCTGGGGTGGTGCATTAGATTTTAGGCAATAGTCTTGCAAATGTACTGCGCCGGAGAATTGTATTGCATTGTATTGCAACTAGTGCACTGCACGCGAAAATCCAGCAATACACTTCTGCCCCTGAATGTCTTGCACGCCCCACATGCACTGCGACCCCACGAATCCATTGCACCAAATCTATTGCACCACCCCCTCGTCGCTGGACCCCCTTCTGGGCCAACCCGAACCAAACCCTTTACACCATACCCCTTTCCTACCTCCAGAAACCAGGAGGCCCAGCGCATTGAGCAGGGACCGACCGTCCCGGCATTCCTATTGTCCTACCACGAAATGTTCATAGAACCCAAAAATGCTCCAAGCACAAAAGCAATCTTCTTAGAACATAAACCCAATGTGTTCGAACACGACAGACCCGGCCAGAAATGTTCTAAGAGCATCTCGTGCAGACCACAAAAGGCTCTTAGAGCATTGTTTGGTAGGGCTGTAGGAGAGCCAGGACGCTTCGCCACTGCTTTCAAGTCGGGCCTGTCCCTCTACAGGGGGAATCTCCAAAAATCGTCAAACAATAGTCTGGGGACTATTCCTTCAATTTGATTCGACCATGTTGGAATATGTTTCGGGTATTTTGCATCTTTCGTCGAAGATCCCCCTGCAGGGGGACACGCCCGACTTGACAATAGGCGAGCCAGGACGCTTCGCCACTGCTTGAGCGCCTCGGGCTCGGCCCCCGCCCTCTCCCCGAGGATTCATATATTGGCCAGAAATATAAGGAAAGCCAGACAGTCCGAGAACAGCCACTGTACTGTAGTATTACCAGTAGTAGTAGTAGTAGTAGTAGTAGTAGTAGTAGTAGTAGTAGTAGTAGTAGTAGTAGTAGTAGTAGTAGTAGTAGTAGTAGTAGTAGTAGTAGTAGTAGTAGTAGTAGTAGTAGTAGTAGTAGTAGTAGTAGTAGTAGTAGTAGTAGTAGTAGTAGTAGTAGTAGTAGTAGTAGTAGTAGTAGTAGTAGTAGTAGTAGTAGTAGTAGTAGTAGTAGTAGTAGTAGTAGTAGTAGTAGTAGTAGTAGTAGTAGTAGTAGTAGTAGTAGTAGTAGTAGTAGTAGTAGTAGTAGTAGTAGTAGTAGTAGTAGTAGTAGTAGTAGTAGTAGTAGTAGTAGTAGTAGTAGTAGTAGTAGTAGTAGTAGTAGTAGTAGTAGTAGTAGTAGTAGTAGTAGTAGTAGTCGTAGTAGTAGTAGTAGTAGTAGTAGTAGTAGTAGTAGTAGTAGTAGTAGTAGTAGTAGTAGTAGTAGTAGTAGTAGTAGTAGTAGTAGTAGTAGTAGTAGTAGTAGTAGTAGTAGTAGTAGTAGTAGTAGTAGTAGTAGTAGTAGTAGTAGTAGTAGTAGTAGTAGTAGTAGTAGTAGTAGTAGTAGTAGTAGTAGTAGTAGTAGTAGTAGTAGTAGTAGTAGTAGTAGTAGTAGTAGTAGTAGTAGTAGTAGTAGTAGTAGTAGTAGTAGTAGTAGTAGTAGTAGTAGTAGTAGTAGTAGTAGTAGTAGTAGTAGTAGTAGTAGTAGTAATAATAATAAAAAAAAACGGTATGCCCCACGTCAGCCATTGTTGGCTGTCTCGGGGGCCCGGCCGTCCGGGCCTGGGAGTGCTCGCCGACCCTGCCGCGGATCTCGACGGCGGGCGGCGGCGGGCCGGCAGCCGCCTCCGGGGGGGGGGGCCCTCCGCGCGGGGTGGGGGTGGGGGGCGCCGCGCGGGGCGAGGCGCGGCGGGCGCGGGCGGGAGGCGCCAGCGGGGAAGAGGGGGGGGAGGGGGGGGGGGCAAGCGCGGCAGCGGCTGAGGGGGCTCTTTCGGGCTCCAGGGGCGGCCTGCGCGAGGGCGCGCCCGGGTGGCTCTCCCCTGCGCGCGCTCGCACGGCGCCCGGGGCGGCGGCACGGCGGCACGGAGCCAAGAAAGGAGCCCCAGGAGACACAAAGAAGTACACACAAATGAAAATATCCCCCACATCTTCCCATATTTTCTGAATGTTCGTCTTCCCCCCCACTTGCCATATTTTCGCATGCTTTCCTGGGAATCGACAATGAATTGTGCCTGTGTGTGTCTTCCCATCCTGAGCCAAGGCCTCCCCGCGACGAGGAGGAATCTGAAGTCGGACATGTCCCTCTACAGGAGTAGTTCAGAACAGTAAAAACATTGTCTGGGGACTGGTGTTCGTCTTTGTGAGCTATGTTTGGACATGTCTTGGTTGTTGCTTACTTTCCTTCAAGATCCGCCTGTGATTAGTAGGACCTGCCCGACCTGAAAGGAATCACTACGGGACGTTCCTGGCCGGTCTAAGTCCTCGGGGGCCTCTGCCGGGCCCCTGGGCCGTCAAAACAAGGGCTGGGGACCAGAAGCCCCGTCCCAGGGAAGCGGCCCGGGCCTGCCCCACCACGCCACGCACGTGACGACCCCCTTTCTTGCACTGCTCCACCGGAGCCCTGGCCGCTGCGCGCCGCCACGAGACCTGCAGTGGTCTGCCAGGGCCGCCTTCCGCGCCCCTCCCTCCGCGGCAGCCTGCTATTCTTAAGTCGGGCATGTCCTCCTACAGGCGGATCTTGGGAAGAACAACGTAACAGTGGCAAAACATCTTCAAACGTAGCCACGAGCACGGACAAACGTCACCGGACTATTCTGCGACTGCTTTCGAATACTCCTCCTGCAAATGGGACATGCCCGATTTACTCCTATGCACCTTTGCCTTCTCTCCTGCGGTGCAGCGGCCTGCTGCACCGTCAGCCTGTGCCTGTGTATGGGGTTGAAGTACAAGGGTGCAGAACCCCTGGTCCGTTGGTAGAGAGAGGGAGGGATAGATGGATATCTTTCCCTCCCACGCGATCAAGGTACGATCGCTCCAACTCAGTACCTGAGCCCAAACGGCCAGGTGCGGGAGAGGTAAGGATAAGGAGTATATATGAGGGTACTACACGGGTTCCTTCCACACCCCCCGTCCCGAATCCCGCCCGTGAAGGCAGGGCTCGGGAACAGAGGATAGGAATCCGTAACCTCTGAACTCCTTTAGTCCTTAAGTCAGAAAGGCAGCTGAGGCTTAAAAACAGCGAAGCCACAGCTGCAAAGTGAGGTAAGAAGAGATACCCAAAGTCCCCCTTTCATCCCCAGGCGCACTTTGGCGCCCCCTCGGTGCGCCCCCCCAGAACGCTTCGGCACTCGAGGGAGGGGAAGAATGAGACAAGGGTAGGCGGAGAAAGTAGATCTGAGCATTAAGGCAACATGCAATCTGCCTCGCAAGATTTGCGAGGCAGGTGTTGCCACCAGCAAGCAGATTATTCTCGACGCAATATTGTTCAAATGGGTAAAATATGCATGCTAAGATCGTGTTGACGAACACGATTCTGAAAAGAAACGCAAATCTGTGTGAAGCAAGTGTCTGGCCAGACAAGATGTCGTGTTGATGAACACGAAGAGAGATGTATAAAAATCTGTTTGGCGACTCCCGTTGGCGTTGCTCCTTAGGAGGCTGCCTCGGTGATCGCAAAAGGCATATATATGTGTGTACGGCCACTTGTTGGAATGATTGAAGTGGTCTAAAAGAAAATATTAGCCACCGCTCAAGGCGAACTTTGATGAAAGGAAGTTCTGCTCTTGAGCAGTGGGCCCTGCGGCCGACTCACTACGCGTCGCCGTCCTTTTGACAGTTATATTCGGGCCTGTAGTGGGGTCTCGGGTTGATGGATTTTGATGGGTGGAGCCGTTGTCGATCTTTGGTGGCTGCAGAATTCGCGATTTCCACGTCGAAAATCGTTGATGGACGGCCGTTTCGCGATTTTCAGAAAGAAAATTATTGATCAACCAACGTTTTCTTGTCGGGGCGCAAACAGCCAAAATGAAATTTGTTGATGGCATCGACCCGAGAGATGTCATTTCGCGAGTTTCAATTGTCTCCCCCTTGTTTCGTTGCTCGTGCGCAATATGCACGGCCGACAATCCATAGCATCCGTCGACGATGCACCCGAGGGCCCAAGTGGATACCCTGCGCAGCTGTCGCGGTGTCGGGGCGCCGTCGCGCCATGGCGTCGCGGCGTCGCGTCGCCGCGGCGGCGTGGGGGGGGCGAATGCGGGGGGCCAACGCCTTGCATGGATGTCGCGGTGTCACGATGTCGCGGCGTCGCTGCGCTACGGCGCCCCACGGGGACGAAGGCGGATTGGGCGACAGCCCTACGTTGGGGGGCCTTCGGCGGAGGAAGCGATGGCCTCATGTGACCAAGGCCAAGACGGGCCCTAGCAACCTAGAGCACCCTGAGCCCAGAGGGAACCCCATGGGACTCTGGGGAACCCAAGGCCCTGGAACCTTGCGGCCCCCGAAACACCGCCCATTTCGGCGCGCCCGTCACGCGGATCGCGGGGTCTGGCGGGAGGAAGAGCCGAAAGCGTAGGACATGGGCTGGAGCCTGCAGGAAACTGAGTTTCGGAGGCAGGCCTGGTCGGGCGAGGCCGATCCCACCCGACCGCCTTGCCAGGCCGCTTGGCTCAGCATGGCGGCCAGGCGGGCCCCCCTCCTACCCGCCTCCTTCCACCCGAGTCTGCGGGGCGTGGGTCGCTCACTTTTTGCGGTTGCATCCAAGGGAGCCGCGTGGATGCCACCGCTGGCAAGCCTTGTTCGGAGCCCCATCGAGGCCTTAGGACTTCTGAGAGCCCCGCGGGGGCCCAGCTCGAGTAAATCGGGGCCCACAGGCGCACGTCTGGGGGCATATAGGCGCCTTAGTCGGGCCGTTGGTAGGGGGCGCTGCGGGGTGACCCCAAGGAATGCCCGCAGGTGCCCCCACGGACCACACCAGTTGCAACTACTCAGTTGGAGGCCCCTTCGAAGGCTATCGCGGGCAGCCATTCGGAACGCTTTTCGGTGAACCTTCGGGCCCCAGACGCGGCCCCAACTAGAACCCGAAAGGGCCAGATAAGCCACAGCAAGGCAAGGTGTGGACCCAAAAAACCGCCGAATGAATGCACCACATAGCCAGATTGTAATGAACCCATGGTGCGATGTCCAAGTAGGGATGGTGCACTGTTTGGGGCACTCCTGGAGCCCGACTGGGGCATCTCTGGGCCTCACTGGGGCCCTCGGCGGAGGGGGCGAAAGCCCTGCGTGACCAACGGCGCGGAAAGCCTTGGGCCCAGAGCACCCTGCTGAGCCCAAAGGGGTGCCCCGAGGCTCTGGGGGACCATTGGGCCTTGAAGCCCTGGGGCCCCTGAGACACCACCAAACTCGGCACGCCCCTCGCGCGGATCGCGGGGCAGGTGGGCGCGGGCCGACGGCCTCCAATATATGGTGTCTGGGGGGGGGCGGAGGGAGCGGGGAGAGAAGGCAGCAGCACGGGGAGGGAGAGGGAAGAGGAAGGAGAGGGGAGGGAGGTGAAGGTGAAGCTGGAGGGGGTGAAGGGACAGAGGAGGAGGACGACGACGAGGGAAAGTTGGACGACAATGAGGGCATGATGAGATAGGTTGCCCACCTCCGCCCTGAGAGAAACAGCGCTCACACCTCGTCCGCGCTCCGCGGAGAGCCTCCCGAGAAGCGTGCCGCCGCCACTCGTGCAGTGCAGTTGGTGATATCATCCCCCATCGTGTCGTCGTAGTCGTCGTCCTCGTCGTCGTCGTCGTCGTCGTCGTCGCCCTCTTCCTCCACCTCCCCTTCCTCATAAATCCTATCATTACCACATGCAGCAACTTGCTGCTTGAAAGGGGCGGCGGCGCGCGAGGCCACCTGACCACGGCGCCTCCTAGCTACCCTGGGGCCGACAGCCCCGAAAGTGTCCGAGCCGATCTCGAAACCGCCAGCGTCGCAAACCTCCACATCTACAACGTGTCGTTGAAGGCCTGCGTGAGCATCTCCCCCAGCTTGGCCGCGATCACTGGGTGGATGTCCTTCTCCTTGAAGTACTTCGCGCCGTACAGCTCATCCCTGAACGCCAGCAAGCACGCCTTGTGGTCCTTCGCGTGGACTCCGCCCTTGACGAGCTGAGCGAAGCGCGCCTCGAACAGCGTGGCCTCCGTGCGGCCCGCGGCCTTGAGCGCCGACGCCTCGAGGCCACCGAACTCGCTCATCTTGCCGTGCTCGTCGGCCGTCTTCTTGAGCTCGCCAAGCTGCTTGAGTATGTCGCCCTTCAGCGCGCGCGCCTTGGTTGCCAAGCCCTTCTGCTTGAAGAGCGTGGCCTTGATCTGGGTCAGGACCTCCTCCCAGTTCTGCAAGCTGGAGGGGCCGTCCGTCCAGCTCTTGCCGCCGCCGTTCATGATGCCGCCGCTCAAGGCATCCATATCCTTCACAGCGTACTCCGTGGCGTCCGCCACCAGGTCCCAGTACACCGTCGAGAACTCCTTGAGCAAGTCGCGGCCTGTCTTGATTGCCACGTTGGCGAGGGCCTCGAAAGCCTTGAAGTCGACCAGTATCGTAACCTCGAGCGTCTTCTTGCCGTCGGCCCCGTCCGAGCCATCCGCACCCTGTGTTGTCGAGGCCCCCTCTCCCTGCGGCTGCTCGGGATCCTGGGGCGGCTCGGCGGCGGTCTCGACGAACTTGGCGAGATGCGAACGGAGCACGCGCCAAGCCTTCAAGGTAAGACAGCCATCGTGACATCAAACCGCCCACCATCCCACCATATGCCCCCATCAATCCTCAAGGACCCCTCGGGTCCTCCACCCCTCACTCCAGTACCCCGC